GCTTTTACTCAAAAACCAAAAAAAAAAAAACAACCTAGACATTACAATACACCCGTACCCCACCGTATTCCTCACAATGCAGAAGCCTTACTCAGCTTCCTCTTTGATAACCCCCCCCCCATCCTCAACCCCTCACACCGTGACGCTTTGTAGCGCCGTTTTAGCGACATCTCCACAATGGATACGAATTTGGAAAAAAAAAGTCAAAAGCAGCCAGAGCGAATAAGACGAATGTGTAGCACGAACACCAGAGTACAGACGAAGAAAGAGTACACGACGTAAAATTCTAGTCCAGAGTCAGATGGTATGAGCTATACACAGGTACGAGAAGGAGAGACAGAGCCATACACACACAGACGAAAAAGAGATAGAAACAGTCGTGGATGGGCAAAAACTGTGTCGCCCATTGTCGACCGGTACACATTGCGAAACAATCGCGATAATGAGAAAGCTACGCAGGCAGCCGAAGACTGTTCTGTATCCCTCCCGCCACTTCGTCCTTCCCATCTATTCTACCATCTCACTCTATAAAACTCTCTGTCCAACGAAAAAGGCGCGTACCTCTGTTTCGCGTAATTTGGCCGATATACCGTTGCATGCAGATAAAGACCAAAGTCGCGAGGCATCATGGGTATTGTTCGGATAGGAGTCGTGCCAAATACGAGGGATAACAAGAAATTCCGTAAGACGTATGGAGTATAGAGCACTTATAGGGTAAGGATCGAACATAAGCAGGAAGCATAGGAGGACACTGTCGTACAGGATCGTTAATAATAATCAGATACACCATATGGACAATGGGTATTTCCGACAAGGTTTCTCCGCGGGATAAACCATAGACGCGGTTCGTGTTTTGTGGTTCGGTAATTACGGTACCCCATAAATTGATGGTCAACAGTTGGCCACGAGGGGGCACACTGTACAGTGTGGCTAAGGCGATAGCGATACATGGGTATGACCGTGATAAGCCGCAGCATCTTCCCTGGAGTGGAGAATTTCAGTAGAAGAGGACTGGCATTATGCGGAGTGGCCGGTGCTGCGGAACGTAGGAGGCAAGATGCGCCTAAACTGCCGCCAGATAGCGCTGAGATCGAACGTATCCCGAAGCTAGGGGAAATCGGCGTGTCTCGCGTTGGACACGACTATCCGAGCAGATAGGGAACGTGTAATGTGTTGCAATTAACCGACCCCGAAATCGATAGTCACTGCCCGAGGTCGGCATATTATCTTGTCGCTATCAGGTATCGATGAACATCGGGTATACACGTATATTTGAGACCGACAAGATGGAAATAAATACTGATCTGTGTAGCAGTGCATTTACGTATAATTTTTATTTACTTTAGTTCACAGATCCGCCGCCACGTTACAGCATGGGTGCGCGGTCGTCGCACTCGACACGAACAATATGCAGCTATACTCGGTTGTACTTCAATACGAATACAGAAAGTGTGTGGAGTGAAAAATTCGAAATCTCCAATGTTTCGTTTTCGCGTTAAATCATCTCGGAGAGGGGGAGGTTGAGGCAGTGAATTTTACTCTCCCAATGAATTCCCCATGATATTACATCGTATACCGGTGGCTGGTGAAATTTTCTTCGCAGGATATTGAAATAAGTTCGTGAAGATTTCAGCGGAGTGAGAAAGCAAAGTAAACGAAAATCCGTCTCATAAATTCAGAAAGGTTCGGGGAGACGTTCAATGATTCATATTTCTCGTATTCGACGAAGGTTAACCCTGAAGGTAAGGGAGAAAAGGGCTCCTTGGGAGAAGGGGGGGGATGCTGAAACCGAGGTTAATGGTGATGGGTTCAGATAACCAACAGGGTACTATGGTAGAACCGATGGTGGGTTGGTTGAAACGAAGTGGGAGAAAAAGGAAGGAAAAAAAAAGTGTGAAAAAAAGAAAATGGAGAACGAGGTAAACTCTCGACGGGCGTCACCCGAGATTTTATTTACGGCCGTTTGATTGAGAGCCTTTTAAAAAAGGATATCGGAATCGTCCACCTCTCTTGCTATATACACCCCCCCCCCC